TGTACAGAATCGAACCTGTCGGCTTGCTGATAAAACCTCCGTTAATAAATGTACAGGACTGGCAATATGTTCGTGTTATTTTAACATCACAGACAATGTAGCCAAAGACAAACCATTCTAATTTGTAAACGTTAAATAAATCCAACATCAATCTGAACCGTTCTATCAAATGTTATACATTAAATTTATATATCCCCTTACACATCCATAAAAGTCCTAGCGAAGATTTCATTCAGCACTAGTATCACCCAAGAAATATTAAAAAACATAAGTATATTTATATTAATTGAACAAATTCAATGAAGTGCTGTGATTATACAAAAAACGTGGTCATCTGTATACAGAAACTAAATTCTTTAATTAAGAATGAAAAGAATCAAATCTTTGAAGAATAGAAAAATAAAGTAAAACAAAGGACTGATGTTAACAAGGTTTCATGGTCTGGGGGTTAAGTTATGCTGCATTGTTGAATGCTGTAAACTTACGAATTGACCCTACAAAATTAAGCTCAACCTTTTAAAAACCTTTTATAAATGTAGTGGGACATGTGCACTGACTGTTTTTGTTGTTTGTCTTACTAATGTATTTGCTTTTCATCATCTCCTGTGAATGCAGCTACACAGTTTTTAGCCATTTTACCAACAAAAATATAAATAAATAATTTTAAAAAATAAATAAAAAATTGAAAAAGTGGAGATAAAAGGGTTTGATTGATTTATATAAGGTATAACGTTCATTGATAAATCTACACAGTGGCAAAATGTTTATTTTAACATACCACCATGTATCCAAAAGCACACCATGCTAATTTGTAAAAATTAAATAAATCTCTAAAACATAACATTAAATTGTTAAATTGAACAACTGTCGAATGATAGATATTAAATTTGGATATCCCCTGACAAGCATATAAAAAAGTCAAAGCAAAGATTTCACTCGTTAATAGTATCATCATCCAGGAAATATTAAAGAGTGAAATATATTTACATTTTAATTAATTATACTTTTTATCTAAGGTCTTGGTTTGAGATAAAAAGCTAGTGTCTGAGCGGGATTCGAACCCACGACCATCGGCTCAATGCATCACTCTCTAACCAATTGAGCTATTGTGACTACTGACGCTCAAGTGGTTAGAGCAGTGGAGTATTGAGCCGAAGGTCATTGGTTTGAATCCCACTCATGACACTAACTTTTTCATCTCGACCAAGACATTAGGTAGAAAGTATAATTAATTAAAATAATTAATACTGTTAATGATTTCTAAATACATATATTTATATTTATATAATTTCATAAATGGATATTTATATTTATTGAATGAATTCAATGAAATCCAGTGATTATAAAAAAAACATGGTAATCTATATACAGGAATTAAAAATTTAATACAGAATGAAAAATCAATCGAATGTTTGAAGAATAGAAAAGTAAAGTAAAATAAAGAACTGAGGCTAACAATGTTTCATACGTCTGGATTAAGTAATGAAGCTATGAACACAATAAGCTGATGAACTAAGCATAACCTTTAAAAACCCTTTTATCAAATGTACTGGAGTTATCAGTAATAAATTTACACAAGTGGCAATATGTTAATGTTCTTTCAACATCTGAGACAATGTGGCTAAAGGCACACCATGCTAATTTGTAAAAAACTAAATAAATCTATGGTAGCCGCTACAGTTCAGGCGTTGAAATGGCACTCATCACTGTAAGGTAAAGGTCTGAGGTTTGAATCCAGCAGCCCTGCATTCGAACTTGACATACTTACAAATGGGCTTTTTTTCAAAAACGCCAGCACCCCAATCATTCAAATAACCTCATAGTTGAAATACCCTCATTAAAATAAAAATAATAATAAAAATAACTAAAAAATAAACAAATTAAACAATTCTGTTAAATGTTAGTTATTAAATTTGGATTCCCCCTGGCCCAGATCTAAAAAAGTCAAAGCAAAGATTTCACTTGGCACTTGCATGCATCATCATTCAGGAAATATTAAAAGGCAGAAATATATTCAATGAAATCTAGTGATTATAAAAAAGCATTGTAATCTGAAAAACCAGAACTAATTTTTTTTTTTTGGAAAAACAAAATCTTTGAAGAACAGAAAAATAAATTATAACAAGGAACTGAAGCTAACAATGTTTCATACGTCTGTATTAAGTTATGCGGCTGTGAATACTGCAGTGATGCACTAAGCACAAAATTAACCTTTAAAAACCCCTTTATGAAATGTACAGGGCCATCAGAAATAAATTTACACAAGTGGCAATATGTTAATATCGTTTCAACATCAGAGACGATGTGGCAAAAAGCAGTGTACTCAACGCTTATTTTTACAATGTGCATTACTAAGAATATATTAAATAATTTATTCATTTACATGTAAATTTATAATGAATAATTTTTGATATATACATTCAATGAGCAGTATTTGTTTCCATGGTCTGGATGTCAGGAGAATCAACCCATTTTTATTTACATATTATTCCCTTTTTTTATTTATCTATTCCTTTATTATTATTATTATTATTTGGTAGGTATTTGTGAGCAATTCTTTTTTGTTACAAGTTTAATTTAAGTACAACTAATTTAAATAATAAAAACAAAAAATAAATAAAGTACCTGAATATGCCACTTTTATTTTTATTTGTTTTTTAATTAAGGATACGTAAGTTCATTGTAAACATTGTTTTATCGTGAGCCTATGCCGTTAAAATAATTATGTCCATCCTTCTGGAGAGCCTCGAGGTAGGTTTAATAAAAAGCCAAAAGCTTGACAAAAAAAAGATACGTCTATTTCATTTTGGACCACATACCTGATCCCAATCATCAGTTGTTAATATTGTAACCTTCTCCAGAATACCTGACTAGATTGACCCAATGTTTCCATTTAGATAATCTATACAAACATTTAAGGGGAGAATTTCCAACCCTAGCCATTTTTTCGCCTAATCTTGGGCAGGTCGGAATAATATGGTACAGAAATTTCTCTTTGTTTATCTGACAAATGGTACATTCAATTTCAGAAGTGTCGAAAGGGTTTTCTTAAGTTTTAGAACCTCTAATTTTTATAATTAGTAAATCCATTACAGTTCGTGGTCCGATTAACCAATTAACTTTTTTCAATTAATCAATTTATCTCAACCAATACCATAAATATTAATTAATTTATAATTAGTCTTGTTACCCGATTGCAAAACACCCCTATGATACGCACTGCCTGTCCAATCAAATTGTAATCCCTGTAAACCGGGCAATATTAAATATTTATATTACATAGGTTATAATGGTATTTTTTGGCATTTACACAAGTCATATACAATATTCATATTACATGTACTTTATACAAGACATAATAGTAATAAGTATATCAAAATTCATTGAAAATTACAAAATGTGGTTTGTCGTATTGTGAGAGTAAGAGAATGTGTGACCTTAAAATGACACAAGGATTTTGCCAATATAGGAGAGATGTCAAGAATACAGTGAAGAGTATTTATTACTGTTAAATATACGTATAAAGTGTAAAAATAGTGCGTTTTCTTGTGTTAAAGCATTACTCATTGGCACAGGTGAAAGGTTTTGTTGGAAGGTCACAAAAAGAAATGGAATCATCCAACAACTCAATCTATCTTCTATACATATCAAACTATACTGGGTCGTGTCCCATTTCATTTGGAATCTCGTACAATTTAAAATTAAATTCTTGCGGAGCTGGCAAGACTTATAAAGAGGAAAATAATTACAGGCTTTAAACCGGATCGGGCGAAATCGTCTTCCGTTTATGGTTAATATGGAGGTTCAGAAGGTGAAAGTTAAGTGTAACAAAATTAAACGGTTAAATACCAAAGAAGAGAAAAGGAAAAGTTAAGTTGATCGAAGTAAAAGGCGAATGCACTGGTGTGTGATGACTATGACTATGACAGAAGGCATTTTGGTGGGTTTTTTTCTTTCTTTTCAGACATGACCAAAGGGCGTGAGTTATTTGTAATAAAGTGGATATTTAAATCACAAAAGGTGTAAAAGGATAAAAAGGCTGAATGGTTTTTGTTAATAAGTGGGACGAAGCGAGTGGAAAGGGGTCAGGAAGTGTCAAGGGACGCGGCGGAGCGTCGGAGGGGCCGGGGCGAATCGGCGGCCGTCCACCCCGGCCGAGCCGCGGTAACCTCCCGTCCGCCCCCGCGATCGCCTCCCGGAGGAGGCGGCTATTTTCAGTATCTGCCGGGCCGCGGAGACGGGATTTCCAAGGATTCCGTCCGCCCCCGGGGACGGCGACGTCGGCCGACGCTTCGGGACTTCCCGGCCGTCACGACGCCGGCCCCAGAGAAAATCCCCGAGGTCACCGACGACCCGTGGATCCGCCGCCAACGACTCGCTCCCCCGCACCCCAAATACACAAAGGACTCACGTGAAAAAGACACAAGACGGCCGTCCTCCTTTATAAATAAGGCGAAATGGCAAAGCCGTGAAAAAACCCTCGTCCGTCCTGGAAAAGCACCTCTTCTTAAACACCGTCTAAGAATAAAGAGACCTCGCGGAAATTCAAGGAAACGTAGCGCACAATTTGTTTCAAATCGAATACATAAATAATCCTCACTGTGGGTCAGAGGCAGAAACACATACACTCCGATCCGACTCCGTTATTTCCATTATCGAAAACACCGCATTGAAATTATTGCAAACTCTGAAGAGAAACTGTTGTTATTAAGAAAATTCTCAATACTAACCGAGACGACGCCTAGTTTTGCGACAGTACACATTAATAACGGGATTTGAACGGAGAGGACTTCGTTACTCACATCAAATCCAAGATGGCCGAAGTTTTCCCGGAGCTGGACAACGCGCAACCTGGACGCGCAACACCGCCGACGTCACCTCCGACCAGAGACTTTCAGCTACCAACATAAAATTGGCCCGAAAATTTGCCCAGAGACGGCAAACGCAACGTTGTCGGACCTCAGCACGTCGACACCCACGATCAAAAAAACACCGCACGCCTCGACATTCAACATTTCTTTTAAAACCGTTTGATAATAAATCTCCCATTTTTAAAATTATACTTAGAAATTCTCAGAAATTCCGCGAAATTTTGAATTTTCGGCGGTTTTGTTTCAAACTCAGATTCTCAAGCGGAAACTCGTCCACGTTTCTAAGTTTTATTTATAAGAAAAACCTTTTTATTCCTTTATTGCTCAATTTTGCACAAGAGCGACACCAGCTTTTTTAAATTTTTTTTTAAAGAAAAGCAGAACATTAGGTCCGACGTAGTTTATATACAGTGTTTTTGCCAGTGGATTGGCAACATTGAATTGTTAACTGCCAATTACAAATTTAGCATTAACACACTCATCTGGTACCATAAGCTATTCTTCAATCTCCAACAAGACTCTTGATGATATTTAAATATTTATAACATAAATACTTTATTTTTTAATGTACATACATTTAGTACAACCACCATTACTAGTGACTCCCGCCCTGTAAGTATTCTTTCATTACAACGTAAAGTATTTAAGATTTTATTTAAACAAATAACATCAATTTATTGATTCCCATGGATCTCATTTTCAACCTAGATTAGAAAAAAATTTCATACTTGTGGGCAGCCTTTCAAACTTCCCCCTAGATTCTCGACCAGAAGCTAGTTGCTCGTTTCAAAGTTTTTTTGTACAAAAACGTTTTAACAATATATTGCTCAATTTTGCACAATAGCGACACCAAATTTTTCATTATTTCAAGGAAAAGCAGAACATTAGGGCAGAGCAGTTGAAATACAATGTTCTTGCCCATGGATTGGCAACATTAAATTGTTTACTGCCAATAATAAGTTAGCATAAATACAAATACATATCATGTATCATAAGCTATTCTTCAATCTTTAACAAGGCTGATGATATTTAAAATATATTCCATTATTTTATTTTATTTTATTTTTTTAATGTACATACTTTAGTACAACCACTCTTACTAGTGACTACTTTCCTTTAAGTATGTGTATAAGTATTGTAAATCATTTAAGGTTTTGTTTAAATAAATGGCATCAATTTGTTGATTCCCATGGCCATATATTTTATTTTCAACCTAATTTAAGAAAAATTTCATAGTTGCGAGACAACCCATCAAACCGGTTTTCGTCCAAGATTCTCAATCAGAAGTTAGTTCCTTGTTTCAGTTTTTTTTTCTTTCTACAAAAAGTTTTAACACTTGGCTGCTCAATTTTGCACAAGAGCTTTTTTGTGTAAAGAAAATCGGACCGTTAGGTCGGATGCAGTTGTAATACAGTGATTTTCCCCTTGGATTGGCAACATTGAATTGTTTACTTCCAACATAAATTTAGCATAAAGAAAAATACACGTCATGCATCATAAGCTATTCTTCAATCTCCAACAAGACTCTTGAAGATATTTAAATATTTATAATTTTGAGGAGCGGTCAAGAATGAGGAAATATACAAAAACACCTTTTTAATTTTTTTTGCTGGCGTTTCGACTTTTATTCGGGTCGTCCTCAAGACCTGGGTGAATTACATATGTTGTTTGGAAAAATACAATACAGAAGTAAATATAAACTTGGAAATTAAATATCTCATACTCACATAAAGAGTGGTGCTATTCCTGTGGTGTCATATTGGTAAAAACAGACAATTCATAAATAAATTAAAAAAATTGTCCCCTTTAATAACAAGTATTTCCACCTCTGACACGACTCACGACTGTTAAACACCACTGCATTCCTTGGAAAAAGATTTCTAATAAAATCCTGAGAAATTCTTTCACATATCTCAAGAACAGCCTTTTCCTTAGGAGTGTTAGTTGTTAGGACCTGGGTTTTACTTATAATACCACTTATTACAATCGATAATTATTGACAATCTGATACCTTCATACAATCCTGCTGAGAATTTAAGGGTAAGACCCTTTTGAATTCATAAAGCATGGTTTTTTAATCCATTTAGGTTGCCACCAGCTTGACAGACAGTGTCCATACCATCAGAAAGATAAAGTTCACTTCGCCTTCAAATAACAATATTGCTATAAATAATAAACTACAGTACACACAGCTGCTGGTGCATACAAAGTTTCGACCAATATCCAATGTTTAACAATTATTGTTAACTTTATTGCTGATGATTGTCAGCTTTCTACCTCTTCATAAGACAGAGTTATGCTAGGATACTTTGTCTATGGCAGCTCGTGAACATATTAGAACTCCAACATACAGCACACCAAAAATAATTCTTTAAACTTGTTGAATTAACAAAATAAAACAGGTAATTGCTAAATGAAGAAAACAAATGTAACCATTTATTTATAATTTCTTCAGATTAGTATTTTACAAAATGCTATGAGATATTTTCTAGTTCAAGACACTCTTTCCTCAACTGTTCAAATTTTGGGTTATTTTTTTAATTTAACAAAAAAATTGGTTTTATTTTTCTTGCATTTTTTTCTTCTGAAAACAATCTCCCCAACATTACAGAAAATTTTAAAAACAATATTAACTCATGTACTTTGTAAATTGGTTATGTAATTAATTATTCTAATAGTTGTAATTATTCAAAATTATGCACAAAAATAATATTATGTCTGAGTGAATATTTTTGATACAAAAATTATTGTTTTTTTTAATGATGACAATTTTTTTAAAAATATAAGTAAATTTTAAGATATGCAAGAGAGGAAACCAAACAGTTACATTTTCAATGTATTTAACAATTATTACACACATATAATCCAATTTGAATTAACTCTGTGGGAAAAACAACTGCATTAGGTTTTCATAAATTGTCAGGTCAGTTGGCAGGAATGTGCAAAAAACGACCAAATCGAGCTGAAAATTTAGAATAAAACTTTAGTTTCGTTATATTAAAAATACACAATTTTTGTACTGTCACATACATTTTTAGGATTTGCCTCTAGGTATGTCCTAACAACCTTTAAAGCCACCAAGGCAGCTGCTTCCTGGGGATAATCTAAAAAACATATACGTTATTTATTTTGTGAGATTTCTTCTGTGAACTGCAGGGTGATGAACAAAATTTGAGTTGAATATTTTCTTTTAATTATTTTCTAAGTTTTATTTTACTATTTTACAAAGAAAATTTCTTGTTAAATATTTATTCATTGATTTTTGTTTATAGAGTAAATATTATTTATTTGAAGAGCATTTCAAATGAAAGAAAACAAACTGTCTTTCCTGTTTGTTTTAGATTTTTTTTAAAATAAGCAAATTGTTTTATCATTATATTATCTCTTAAACAAATAAAAGAGAAGATTTTTTGTAAACAGACTTACCATATATGCCAGTTGAAATGCATGGGAATGCCTGAAAAACAAATTTTATATATAACTTATTGCAGTATAAAATTAAAAACTAAAGTAAATTACAATTGATCTCATTTGTTCACCGGCAGCGATTTCTAAACACTTTTGATAACATGATTTCAATAGATCGGGCTTTTCTCCTTTAGGACCGACGGTATGGATAACATCTACAAAATAAAAGTTTGAACATTATAAAAATTATTGCACCATTTTCAAAAATACAGCTCATTACACTTAGCAGGCAACTGATATCCTCCAGTAAGTTTTGCTTCACCAGTTTTGCAACCGTTGAGCATACGGCATTCTTTTAAAAGGTCAGGCCCAGCTGCCCTGTGGATGGCACCGTCAACTTTAAAACAAATTGACCCGATCAATAAACATTTTAAAATTTAAACCAACATAAATACTTTCAAACTGTTCAAACCTCCGCCACCGCCCAATAAACTATTATTAGCAGCATTCACAATAGCATCGACTTCCAATAATGTTATATCGCCACTCATTATGGCTACTTTTTTGTTGATTTCTTCGTTGACTGGATATTCCCCTTCTATCGATTTGTCCTTGAAATATTCTTTAACTGTACAAGCAATAAATATTAATCAAAGCTTAAATTATATAATCAATAAACTAGGGAAAAACTTTTACACTGGGCTTTCAGCCTGTAGTTGTCCTTTTCATAGTGTTCTGACCATGGCACTATGTCTTTTAGTTTAACAAATTCAGATTTGTAGAGCTCCCTTTTCTGTTCTAAAGGCATCGTAAGATACTTTTCTGTAAAGTGCAAAATAAATAGATCACATTTTAAGTCTTAAACCGTGTTTAATGAATTTTGAGAAAAGATAAAACTGCCTCGCTCGCTATGTAGAAGTTGAAATTTCATTAAGAATAAATAGAAATAGGCAAAAATGTGCTAAAATGTTTTTCTCAGTTAAATAGTCACAAAGATTCTTCTTCCTTTCTGCAGATACCAATATGTGCGTGTTTCTTTAGATAGATAGGTAGATATCAACAGACCTGTCAGAAGTCTAAGGTATTAGTGTGACTCTACTTTTAATTTACTGGTTAGACGATGAATGAATTTCAATTTATGTACCAGAAAAATTTTTCAACCGAAGTTTACAACACTGATTTAAAGAGGAGAAACAATAATAGACATAGATATTTTTTTGGAGAGCAAAAGAGATGTCAGAACACTAAATGCAATCATTAGTTTGAAAATGGTTCAGAATTGACACAATTTTTGAATGCAAAATTGAAACTCAAAAATAAAAACTCTGACAGCATTTCTCCAAGAAAGAAATACACACTATCTAAGATAACTTTTGAGCAGAAGGTACGATGAGAAGAATGCACAGGAGCCTACCTAGATGCAGGCAATATAAGCATCTCTTCGCTGAATTTGGTAAAAAATAAATATCAAAATGCATAAGATGAATCAAAAAGAAAATCAAAAACTACCACAGGTTACAGAAAAAGATTCATAAATGAATATGTATTGTGAAGATTCTGCAAACAAGTTCCACACATGCAGACTGTGGTGGAATAAATATCTAGAACACAACTGTAAAAAATAATGTAATACTTAGATGATTAGGTCTCACCAGGGTACTTTAAGTTTTCAGATACACTTAGGCACCAAAAAAGAATGGTAAAGAGAGAAAAACATCTCTTTTAATAATGGCACCAACTACTGGTACACAGAAGGATCTAGAATGCAAGAAGATACAGGTCCTGGGACCAAATACTCAGAACCCATAAGAAAATACGCCAGTATCTTCCAAGCTGAGGTCCAATCAATTGAGATATGTACCAAATTAAATCTGAATAAAGGGTACAAAACCAAGAATATAGCTATAATGTCAAATAGCCAAGCATCCATCAATGCACTAAGTTCAAACAACATTAGTTCAAAGATGGTGCTGAGTTGCAAAACTAAACAAATTAGGTATGCAAAACAATGTCAGCCTCTGCTGGGTCCCAGGGCATTTAGGATAAAATATGATAAGAAAGTGGATGTCCTCGCATGAAGACAGGCTGGTATACCTCTGATAAGACCTGTGCCCTTCTGTGGTATGGAAATCCTCTATCAATGAGCACCTCAGACAGAAGGATAAAAATCAAATGTGGGAACAATATAATGCACTCATTAAACATAAACGATCCAAGAACCACCTAACAAATTAGGAAGGAAAGAGGTAACAGATTGCATTAAAGGAAGCAGGCTGCGAATCCTAATAGGATTTTAAAACAGGACACTTCAACTAAAGGACATCTGAAGAAGATTGGCATAAGCCAACACAGCATGTGCAGATTCTGCAACGAGCAGAGAAGATACCAGCACACCTACTAACAAACTGTGATGCTATGCTTGCTCACAGGAAGTGTTTTGAGACAGACAATGTAACCATAGAAGAGCTTTAACCACTGAAACCGGGCCTTCAAATCAAGTTCCATGATGAACAAGGACTCACCGTACAGTATAACAGGGGATACAACAGTTCTTAAAGGATGCAGTATAGATATTACACACGACTAATACATGTAGTATGTACTATTCATCTAATCTGAACAGGTGTTGTTCCCAATTAGTTCGGACTAGAGGGACTCCACGCTGTATTTTTTCAAATACAATCAGTAACGATCAATGTACAGCCTCATCATTCGTCCTTCAAGAAAAATCTAATATACAAGCAATGGTAGTAAAACTAAAATTACTCAGATTATAATATTTTGATTGTCTTGTACAAAATGAAAGATTCGTGATATATATATTTTTTAATGGCAGTAAAATATAACATGTGCTACATTGCTTGATTTATACATTTAAAAGCGTTTATACAATATTAATAACGAACAGAAAAGTTGTCATAAATTTAGAAAATAATTCTAAAAAAATTACTTAGGGTTAGAGCTTACAGCACAAACGAGAAGAAAAAACAGATTATCTGTTCCGTATTTTCAACTTTTCAAAGGCTCAAGGCGTGACGTTTTTATCACAAAATTCGTAATATTATTTAATTATTATTTATATATTTATTACAATTCCTACCTTGGAATGAAAAAATGTAAAAACAGCAGGAGTGACAGATCCACTAGTTAAGTGCGTGCAAAACCAAAAATTACCTTCCCTTGTTTATAAACATCTTGATAAGGGCCCCGTGAGATAAGAGCTTATTTACAAAATTTTATAATTTTGTCTATTTCTGAGCGTACATTTTTTTTTCACTTAGTTTGCCCCATTAAAATAAAAAAAGTTCGGCTATATCTACTCGCTACGGTACTTGCCTCTCGTCTCAAATATTTGGACAAATTCTTGGGAAAGGATGCCGTAGTTGAAGGATTGAGGGGGAAAGGAGAGTTTCGAGTTGGATGTACCTTTCAGCAAAGTCCTGAGAGGACGAAGTCCAGCCCGGACACATTTTTGAACCTATAAGTGAAAATAAATTAACAGTCTTCCCTCCGTCATGGTATAAATTTGTAATATGGCCGTTTCGACATACCAACATGATTTAGCCACCGTTCTTTTACTGACAAAATGATTAATCATACAAATATTTTCCTCTTGAGTTCGCCTTTGGATTGTTTCGATTTTGGATTTTAAACTTTTACTTACTGTCAAAAATTTGCCTCTTTCTCGGCGTAAATTTCAAAAATCGTGGCCAAAAAGGTGTTGGTTTTTTTAAATTGAAAATTTTTTAAGTCGAAAAGTAGCAGTCTGTCTTTTCCATATGTTTTACAACCAGACCAGAAGATAAATAAAATAAATTAATGTTATGAATAACTGAAAGTTTTTCTCTTTTTTCCCGGTTGTATAGACATTTGTTGTGTTTTGATTTTCCTCTTGTCTATTTTATGGGGGTGATATTGCTAACAAATTGTACCTACAAGGTACGTCGTACTTTGAGCGGGAGTTTTAAATATCTTTAAATAGGAAGGTAGGATTCAGTCATTTTCAACCAAAAATCCCCTTAATTTTTATTTATTCATTTACTATATTTTAATGAGAATTTTATTGTGAAATTTAGTCATTAATATTATATTAATTATAAATGCTATTGGATTTTGTTTGTAAATTATGCACACTTAATAAGTATTTTTTGTTTCATAATATGTTGACTGTTTTTCGACTTTTAAGCTGTTCGCTGATGTAACAATTACAAAAAATGTAAAAAAAAATTAATTAATTATAAAACTACAGGAGAAAATCTCTCGATTTAACACAGCTAGCCTTACTATGTCTGGGGTTTTGAAAGGTCAAATTTTATGAACTCCACATTAAAAAACAGTAAAAAATAAAAACTGGGTTTTCATAAAACAAGTTCACACCATGATTAATAGATATCAGGGATAACAAATAACATTAAAAAATCATTTATTTACATTTATACATTTCTGAGAAGTGATTCAAAAATGTCATCATTAAAGAAAAAATGATAGTAAACATTAAAACAATTATACAGTTTCTTCTCTTATCGTGCACTGTTTTAACAAGCTTTGTTTCAAGTCCTAAAATAAAAGTTAACGTCAAATAAATTAGCCAAATCATGTATTCATTAAAGTAAGTGAACTACCTCATTTCCAAGTTTTTCTATTCTGCTTAATAAGGCCTTAGCTGTATTGTCACTGTGTGCTGCCACATAATGTGATACATGATGAATGGCCACTGTGTAAAGAATGGGACACCAAGCTTCCTTGACCGGCCCTGAAAAATATTTTTGTTAAAATTTTCCCTATATGATTAATAATATGAAAGACTCACCGGTTGCTAATGCATGCAAGTATGTCATAAGCAGATTGTAATCATTTTCCACTGGATCCGTGTAGTGTTTCAAAGTGATCTAAAATAAATAAACAGATATGCAGTACAGATAATGTTAGATAAGGGTCATAATCAATACACACATGGGATAAAGGTGTTCTCAAAATTCTCAATACAGCAGCCAATTCGCTCCAGACAAGTTTTTTATATCTTGTGCTGTGTTTTTGTCCTAAAGGTACTACAATATATTGACCGAATACTTCATCACAGTATGATACACTGACATATTGATCCAAGATTTGTCTATAGCTAAAAAGACATTTTTTGTAAGTAGAAATTAAAAATTAAATTCAAATGAACACAAGGAAAGGATGTAGGATCATCAATTTCCATGACAATTTCTTTTGGTGATAATAAGCGTTCTTGCCTAAGTGCCTTTATTTATATAATATTTGTTTTAAATATGGTTATTTGCCTTTGTTGTGTATGTATTTCAAGATTTTTTTAAAATGTGTATCAGTCAGTTTGTTTTTTCTACCTAGAATAATAAAATGATGGGGCACTGATGGCCATTATTAACCACAGCGCTTTTTTTTACCCTCAACGCTGACACCCTGAGGGTTGAAATGACCTGAAGCAAACTCCCATTTATGGAAAATCATGAGCAGGATTGTATTAAATGAGATAAAATATTTCAAATTTTTAAAAAGTTACCAAATGAAAGGACACTGGAGTAAAGTAAGCCAAAAAAAAAAAAATTGTTGATAAAATTAATTTGGATTCATTTCAAGTACCCCTTGCTGATTTTTTTTATATTTTTTTTAATATAGTTTTGTCTCAGGGACAATTTTTGTTCTTATTTGTTGATGTCTAGTGTTCCACTTAAACATTCATAACTCCTCTGGATTTTATCTAATGTTCACAGTATTACTTCAAAAACATTTTTTAACCTACTTTACTGGAAGCATCTTTTTGTTTTGGTAACATTTTACATATCTAATCTCATAATCTTAAATATTTTTTTTTACACTACAAAAAAATACAAATTGGCTAATACATAATAAACCTGAAATATATGCAGAACAAAGGCATAAAACCATTTTTAAAAATTATTGGTTATTCAGATATCTAGAGATGCGGTCGGGTGTGATGTAGATTTCAGAAAAACATTTTCTTTATCATGCCAAAAAAATTATGTAAAATAAGATGCCTGGCAAGAACACCAAAATATTTTTTGAAAATGTTTCATTAAAATTGTTAATCGTACATCTGTAGCCTGCTAGCTTCTAGGGTTGAGACTTTGTTCACTTACAAATCATAAAACGATTTAAGTCCTGGAATTTCAGTTTCGAAATCAAGTAGTTTGAAGTTTTGTATAATGTATGTTAGGCAAATCTCCAAATGGCTTGTGACTTCTCTAAACAGATCATTATCTACAACATACAATAAATAATTGTTATTAATTTTTGGAATACAATAATATTTAATTATTATTACTGGAATAATAACACACACCTGCAAGGTAAACACAACAAAGACGGCAGTATTTCGCGGCAAAACTAAGACTGGACGCAATTTCAGGAAACAGTTCTTCCATTATAACGAACCATTGCAGACAACATGTAATTATATCAAGAGAATTTGGAACATTTCTGAGAACAAATTTAAAATGGACACAGTAGAAGAAAAAGCTCAAAGGAAACTTGACGTACCCTTGATTATCGTAGACTCGAAGAATAGGTAGAAATATCCAATCAGAAGGTACAGCTGATTGTGTCGCATTTAGAGTCCCTGTTAAGGTCGATGGTATTGAGGGCTTGTTAACAAAACCTAGACCTAACTCCTGGATGTAGCATTTTTCAATTTTTGGCATGCTTAATCAAGCAAAAAAGCAATATTATTTATTATAAATTGTGAAGAACTTTGTAACATCATAGAAGTTGATTTGACTAACTTGATGAGAGCTTTTTGAAGGTAGTCTGTTTTTTTTAAATGTTTGTTATCTACAGAATCTTCAATCTTCAATGATTGAAGTTTTTCGGATACACTATTGACATCCAATCTAAATAATATCACCAAAATATAAATAATCACCTTTAAAACTTAAACAGTGACATAAATAAATTTTTTTAGTCACCCAAAAAATTTTTTGTTGAAAATTGTTTTAGAAAAAATTTCAGGCAGTAAATATTTATCGCCACTTTGAACCGTGACTACCAATGCAAATGCAAGCTTGTGATATAAATCTGAATTGACAGTGAGCTGGAAAAAAAATTTAAAAAAGTATATTTCTTAAAAATAAAAATTACAATATTTACCTCTGTGAATGTGTACAAGTGGACTAAAAGAGAGAGCAAGTAAATTTCAGGCCTCGCATACCAATGTCCAGATTTTGTTTTTAAATTTTCACATTTTAACACACTGCGTATGTATAGTAATATTTGTGGATCGCACACAAAACGCTCAATGTACTAAAAGAAATTCCATTTTTTTTTTTTCAAAAAATTCTCAATTAGACTCTGTTTGTTTAATATTTCTTACTTGATGGTTTTTATTCGATAACAAATACATCCCAAGGTGTATAACAAATGGCAGTACACTTTCTTTATGAACAATTGGCGGTAACGAGCCTAAACAGGGAAGATTTTCTGGACAGGATATTATTTCACCACAAATTAGCCAGGAGCATTTCCTAAAGTTAGACATTAAATTTATTATAAAAACAGAAAACATATTTTAATTAAAATAGTAATTTTACCTAAGTTTTGAAATTAATTGGGAAAATACTCCTTTTTCAAACAATTGCAATAAAACAGGATTCAAATGGTGAGCTGAATCCTGTAAATGAAAATAAAATTTATTTCCAATAAACTGGTTGTGTGACAGGTCCTCTATGAACTCTCGTTGTACTCTTGTCAGAAGCTACAGTGAACTGGAAATTCTAGGCAAGAATGAATCTGCTTTTAAGAATGGAATAATGACAGAATGAGAGAGTATGTGTAGCTTATAAATTGCAAAATTGGGATCTAATTTCTTCTTCAGAAAGTTCTAATAACTTTCTGGAAAGCAATTAGAAAGAATTCCAATAAAAACTCAGTGAATGATCGTTGGATTAATATAAGTGTTTTTATGACTTACAATGGAAGTGAGCATGTGGATCACCGATTTTAATGAAATTTTTTTGGTGATGCTTGGTTGAAAAATATTAGACAAAAAATATGAGTTTTTTTGCCAATGAGCCCTACCTTTGGGACTAAACCCAAGTCATGAGCGGGATTCGACCTTCGGCTCAATATGCCATTTCTCTAACCACTTGAGCTATTGTGACTTTGATCAGCAGCATATTAAGCTGAAGATCATGGGCTCAAATCCAACTTTTTTTATCTTATTCATCTCAACCGAAAATTTAGGTTAAAAGTATAATTAATTTAAATAATTAATACGATAAAGTATGACATATATAGTGAAATTAATGTTAATTTTACTTGGTGAATCTTACTGTGTATCACATTTCCAAAATGAAATCATTAAAGTAAACAATTGTTTAAGTAAATGTAACGCTACGTGTACTCACAAAGTTAGATGAACAATTTGTCATGAATTGTAAAGTTGAACCCACAAGTTTGCAAGCTGAGAACTGAAAAATATAAAGTTAATGTATAAAATAAATTATAAGGCAAACTAATAAAACTAAAAACCATTACGAGAAAATATGAACTGATGTAATAATAATAATGTAATAATGTTACTTTTTTGTATATTGTAATAAATTTTTAAGTAGTAACATACGAAAAATTAACACATATTTTTGGTGGTTACAAAATAAGTGATTAAGCACACAAAACACAAATCAAATCTAAATGATCCCAAGAGAAATATAATATAAATCAGTGATTCCCAAACTGTGCTACAAGGGTGCCGCAAAAATATTCTATTTTTATTACGTATTATTATTTTTATGTAAAAAAAACCCCTAAAAACTAAGAAACTCTGTGGACATCCAATCTCAATATGGGTGTTAAAGAGACAGCTGCTATTGTGTATTTTTTATTATTACCCCACCAAAAAGTATTTGGCTTTATATTTTTGCTATTAAGTACATAGTCGCTTTTCAAAAGGCAAATTTTTCAATTTCACAAGAAAGTCAGTTGTTTTGATTATTTATTAAATAAAATTGCAGACAAAATAAGAGGTTTAGTATATCAATGGTTTTCTGAATTGGAAATGAATTACTGCTAACATAAAGTTCATGCTGTGATAGACCAATGTTGGTCACTAGACTTGGAGTGCTGTGGAAAAATTCTGATATATTAAGGGCACGGAATACAGAAAAATTTTGGGAACTGCTGGTATAAATTAATAATTGGTTTAAAAAAGAAAAAAAAATGTCAAGTTGATGGGAAATTAAGTAAATTTATTTCAGTTGCAACTAACAAAAAACATCTTTCTTGAAATAAATTTAAATGTCAAAAGTAGTGGGACCATTAGTAGCTGGGTAGTTAGTGTGATAGACTCTCAGTTCATATACCTGCAGTTGTGCGATCAATTCCCACTGCCCCCTCTGGCCCTTTTTTTCATGCTACTCTTCCCCCAACTACATATATGATACTCTGGCTAATATCTTAATGGAAAAAAAATAAAAAGTATTAAATAAAACCTTACACTTGGATTTTCAGTGGTAGCAAGTTGAGAAATCCATTTTAAAGCCACCTGCAAAACAAGTGGGTAAGCCTTAAAAACTGGTTCGCAGGAATGCTTTGCAGCCAGGCTTAAGGTTGAAATCAAGGCAGTACCGTGTTCAAGATCAGACTTTACACTCGTAAGATTTGTGAGGCCTGCATGGGCCTCGAGCATTTTCATAATGACTGGAAACAAATTACTAATAAAAATTAACTACCGAACAACTAAAATCTGCCCTTTGGTCTCACTAGACATGTAAAGGGTTTACCTTAGCAGATGAGGTGTAAGGTTATAATTCATAAACGTCTGCCAAGTGTAGAAACTTTCTAAGGAAAGTTGCATCTCTTCAGGATGACCTTGTGCCCTCTCCCTAAAAATATAAAATCTCTAAATATAATAACTATAAAAATATATATTTAAAAATATACCCTGCAATAAATTGGCAAATTATGTCTATGATTGAATAGTGTTCAACAAGTTTTTTTGCTAATGTTATTGATCTTGCTGCCAAGATTCTGAAAAGTTTCACAGCTTCGGGATAATACGAGCCTTTTTTAAATGATTTTACTGAAAATAAAACATAGATTTAGTTTTCTGTAAAAGGTAAGCTCAGAAATTTATGCTTACATAATTCTTCCACTGTATTCAACAGGCCTGAACAAGAGAATACAGCCTCTGCGGAATCATACGAGTGCCTTGCAATACGAGTGAATATTTTTATCATAGACTTAACTTCAATTGGCTCACTCGGCAAATTTTTAATGACATATCTGCAAATCTCATTATTACAATTTTTTTCAGTTTGAGACAATTGTAACAACCTTACATCATCCTTTCAAGAATATTTGTTCTGAACATCCCCTTAATTATATCAAGCTTGAGAAGCTCTTGATCTTTCAGTTCTGCCACTTCTTCAGGCTTCATTTCAATTATAACGCCCAACGATGGTTGTTGAATGCCGAGTGGAGATCCCATGAGAACATCTAAACAAAGCTGAAATCCGTTTTAAATTATTTACATTATTTATAGAAGGTGTTCTTAGTTAATACGTTTGAGTCAAATAGTATGGCGTTACTTGAAAAACATCAAATTTTGACAATAAAATAAAAAATTACCTCATCTGTGTGGTTAACGATTAGATTACAAATAGCAGTTGCTGATGCTATTACAATTGGTGGTGCAGGATCATCCAAAGAAAATCTTAGAAGCAGGTACATATCAGCATCGAGCAGAGCAGGAAGAATTGGTTTATTAAAATGCTCATTGTAACGCGAAGCCTTAAAAGCAAAATCAGAAATTTTAATAATAAAATCAACCACGATAAAGAAAAATCAACCTACATTTGCCATGATTTTCGCCAAACAGTTAAGGGAAATAACTCTTTGTTGCAAGACAGAACTTCGGCTTAATTGAATAAGTTCTTGAAGAGTATATCCAGGTCGCTCCTGTTCTTCACCGTGGTTGTGAAGCCCCTGCAAAACCCCTTCTCCTTTGTCAATAAATGGAAGTAGTTCACCTAACAATAAAATAAAATGTAGTAATCTAAATGTTCTTGTTTAGATTTACTTTATTAATCAGTTTTGTGCTAGTGATTTTTCAATACATTTTTTTGTACTATAATAGTCTATAATTTAATCATGGTTTGCCAATCCTCGCTGGGTTGGTCTGTCAAACCTGTTCCATTCCATATCTTCAGTAGATCTGTGTGATTTTAGAGATGATGTTGGGTGTTGGTGAAGTCATACTAAACGGGGCCTTTCTTGGGTATGTCTTCACTCACAGGTGTGATTAGTTTAACAAATATTATGAGCAGACTAAAACCCAACATCAAATCTAATCCAGCCAGTCTGGCTACATTACTTAAAATGTTGCACATAAAACAGTTCCTCACTGTAGATGGCACAATGCTGAAATGATTAGTTCATAAACGGGCAAGGACCCAGTAAGTGATCCGGTGCAGATTCAGCCCGTGCCATTTCATTGAGTTAACTAAAGATGATGCCAATGCTTCTGACAACTAACCCAGTGAGGATAAGCAGACCAATATGATCAAATTACCTAGTAGACAGGACCTCACAATATAATAGTCTAGCTATCTGTGTTGAATCGACATTTTGTTAGTCTTAATATTTAAAAAAAAAAGCAGGTTTATGTGAATCTTTATGCATAGTATATTAAAGATCTACTTAGAAACACACATAAAGCAATAAAGTAAAAACACCCCACCTTCAAAATTAAAGCGAGCTGAGTAAGAGTCTTTCGGTGGCTGGACATCTTTCGGCAGTTCGCCGATCCACTGTAGCTTTTCATCTTCAACAACATCCATGTGAGGGTATTTGTTCACGAGATTTTTGACGTCTTCTTCTTCCAATGCTGGTTTAACCTCCACATCTTGCCTAAAATAAAACCGGCATGCTTCTATTAATGGCTTAAATATTATTTTTTTAATATATTAATCCATTTATGTTAAGTGGTCTAATTGACCATACTATTCTTTTTATGTAAGGTCTTGGTTGAGATGAAAAAGTTAGTGTCATGAGCGGGATTCGAAGAGAGAAAGTAAATTATTTTATGCCTTAAAAAGGTCAGTCATTAAAATAAATCAATTAGACATTTTAATAACAATATTTCAACTTCAGTAAATAAAACAAATACATTTGGTTTTTTATGGTTTGTAATAGATTTTATTGATAATAAAAGAGTAATAAGTAAAAGCAACAATGATGTCATGGCACAGAATACTAACAACAAATGTGCAGTTGTAAGTACATTAAAAAAATTGTAATACTTAATTTAACAATAATTTCACATTTCACACGTGGTTATGAACGCAACAAAAGATTAACTTTAAAACTTCATGTAACAAAAATTTCACATTTGCAATAAATCCTATGTTTATCAGAAATTTATCAATCGAGAGTAGCGATCATTTAGCATCATTGAGCTATATGCTCAGCACCTTTGTTCTTCCTCTTCAGATGTTTCCATTGGTGTTACGCTAGAATATTTTGTTCTTCTCGATTTTAAATATTCGACTAGCTCTGGGTCGAGGGTGCTTAGCAACTTCTGCCGTTCAAGAATCAGTTCTTCCTGCGACATCGAAGATAATTTTTCAACGTTTTCAAGATGGATTGAATCAGCTTCTGCAGTAGAACAAACGTAACTTCTTTCGCCTAGAATGCAAAATATTGATTTATTTTAATTTTCCTTAAAGGCAGGGGCATATTTATAAATTAATTTACCAAATTGGTTTGAATTCGTGTTGGTTTTATGCTCCTCTTTAACAGGCGGATCTGCTATGTTTTTTCCTTCCCTGCCTTTTTGCATCCTCTGAGCAAATATGCTCATTCTGGGTTTTTCAGCCATTGTAATATTTGTATTTAAAAATAAACTTAACTAGAGCTGTGAGTTTTGGGCAATGTACAGAACGTAATTGTTTACATTTTAAAAGAGGTTTCGTTAGGCTTACTGTTTGTGGAGGTTGCACGTCTTATGGAAACTGCGACGTTGTCTCAGTCATACGTCATCAATGTATTCAGATTACATTTATTTATTTTTTACTTAACCGTTTGCCAATTACAAATGTGAATTTTATTTTCATCTTTCTTTAAATTTTTTAACCTATTTTATTATTTGTTTGTTTATTTTTCTAAAAAAATTCACATTCACCATTTAAATTAATGATACATAAAAATCTGTAAAAATTGCATTAATTTTCACCAATCAGAACCACAAGCATTTAATTGAATCCACTTTCAAAAGCGAGAAGAAGAAACACGAAATATTGACCAAATTTGAAGTGATTTTACTTTATTTTTGTTTTATTTTCTTCCTTTTTATTTAAAAAAAAGTTTTGAAGTTTTTTAACCTAATTTATAATTTGTTTATTTTTCTTACAAACTTCACTTACACCATATAAATTAATGAAATATAAAAATCAAGGTATTACTTTAACTTTCACTGATCACGTCCTCTTCAGAACACCAGGCGTTTAATTGTATGCAGCAAATACTTTAAAAAACAAGAAGAAGAAACACGAAATATTGGCCAAATTTGAAGTCATTTTACAATTTTTGTTTTATTTTCTTCTTTTTTCTTTAAAAAAGTTTTGAACTTTTTTAGCCTAATTTATAATTTGTATATTTATTTTTCTTACAAAATTCACATACACCATTTAAATTAATGAAATATAAAAATTAAGGTGTTGCTTTAACTTTCACTGATCAAGTCCTCTTCAAAATACCAGGAATTTAATTGAATGCAGCAATTACTTTGAAAAGCTAGAAGAAGAAACACGAAATAATGGCCAAATTTGAAGTCACTTTACTATTTTTGTGTTTTATTTTCTTCCTTAAAAAATAGTTTTTAACCTAATTTATAATTTGTTCATTTATTTTTCTTAAAAAGTTCACATACACCATTTAAATTAAAGACATAAAAATTAACGTGTTGCTTTAATTTTCAGTTACCACGTCCTCTTCAGAACACCAAGCATTTAAATGAATGCTGCAAATACTTGCTACTAGAAGAAGAAACACGAAATAATGACCAAATTTGAAGTCATTTTACTTACTGTGAGTTTTATTTTATTCATTTCTTTAAAAAAAAAAGTTTTTAACAGTTTTTTAACCTATTTTTTTTATCTTTTTCTGAAACAATTCACATATAATCACTATTTAAACGAAAAATATATCAAAAAATTAACCTATATATATTCTATTTGCAATGATTGCTAGTAAAATAAAGGAAATAGCAAAATAGGAAAAATATTGTTGTGGTTATACAATTAACAGTTTGATCTTGAATTTTGAATACAAGTATGGTTATTTTTATCTCAATTTGTTTTCAATTCAACATGCTTGGTTGGGAAAAAAATGTTGTTTTTTTCCTACTTTTATGCATTTTTATGTAAATATGTAATGGATGATTTTTTAAGATTTACTTATAGATATTATAATTTAAACAAATTAAAGTTACAGTAACAACAGTAACAGACTGTAAAGTCACGAAATACAGCTTTTAAAGTCTTTTGTAGATTGTTCGGTTTGTACATCGTTTTTTATTCTTTCGTTTAAAAATTTTCTTAAACTTACGGTTTGTTTTATAGTACAAATTTGTTGTTTAATTACTACTATAATTACATTCATATCCCGTCAATATTAAACAAAAATCATTATACTGAATTTCACGTTCATACATTTTATACGATTAAAACCGTACGAGACAAAGTTGTCGAAGCGTGCCAAAACATTAATTTGGCCTTTGAGGAATGCACAGTGAAACGAAAGGCTGTTTATGGGAGCGGTTTTCGAAATTCCGGTTAGGAGAGTTGAGTTGGATAAGGGTGAGCTAAATGAAGGTCGCAGTTTGGAGGAGTTTGACTGATTTAATTTCATTCTTGAACTCTGGCAATACAATTACCGAGAACAGATATTGCCCTGAGTTGGATATCTGAAAAGTTTGCGCCAATTTTTGAAAAGTAACTTATTACTTCAAAGAGCCACTGACGTTCACCTTAGAGGAATTTCATTTCTCAAGGGCATAATTAATTCTACGGCTATTTTGTAAAGAAGTTGGACAATTGTTTTAACTGGCAATGTAAAATTTTCAAAGTGAAAAATCTGTTAAAAAATTCGTTGAGCTTTTATTTATTATTCAAACTGCTCTCTTATTACCTCCTGCCGCACCAAAGTCTATGTTGCATCTCGAAACGGAAGTGGATGTATAATCTTTTTATTCACACTCTGAAGCTACACTTCAAATATTGCCTTAGAGTGTTAAATTTACGCCCTCTCGTTTTTCCAGGTTATTTGCTATGGAATTTATAAACAAAAGTACATTTTGGCTTAAAAGTTAGACAAATCTTTCTCTTTGATAATTCACCTCTAAATATCTCTTTTTGATGTTAGAAATATCTACCACTTTTTCACTCATGAACAGTCTGGATCAAAGTATGGTCTTGTAGAAAAAAGCAAATTTAGTTGTTCCTGCCAAGCTTTCGTCCTATTTTAAGATCATCACCAGAGCCTATATTAATTTCATACACGTTATGAAAGACATATTTTTACAATTAATTAAGGTTTTGGTTGAGATAAAAAGTCAGTGTCACAAGCGGGATTCGAACCTACGACCTTCGGCTAAATACGCCGCTGCTCTACCACTTGAGCTATCGTGACTTCGACACCAACTTCCCATCTCAACCTTACCTTTTGAATTTTTCCTCCGTTTTGCCATTTTTCAAATGTCGTGTCCTCCTTATTTGATTCTCGGCGACAAATGAAATAGTCACGGAGAGCTTTAGTGAAGTCTACTTTATTTTTCTTATTACATTTTATTAGGTTTCGTAGTCCACTTGACCAAAAAAATTCTTTTTCAATTAATTAAGGTTTTGGTTGAGATAAAATTGTCGCCGAGAATGGAATAGATTACACGACATTTGAAAATTGACAAAAAGAAGGGGAAATTCAAAAGGTGGGGATGAGATGGGAAGTTGGTGTCCGAGTGGATCGAAGTCACGATAGCTCAAGTGGTAGAGCAGCGGCCTATTTAGCCGAAGGTCGTGGGTTCGAATCCCGCTTGTGACACTAACTTTTTTATCCCAATCAAAACCTTAATTAATTGAAAAAGAATTTATTTAATCAAGCGGACCACGAAACCTAATAAAACATATTTTTACAGTTGATTTAACAAGCAATATGTAGGAAAATTAGATATAGTTAATGGCTGTGGAAACAACTCAAAATGGGCTTTTAAATTTTATTGAACCAAAAAAAGAATACTTAATAACAACTTGAACAAAATAAAATATGATTTAGACACAGAACACACGCATTAACAACTTCTTCTCTCTTTAACAACTTATTCTCAACTAAGTCTTTCTTCCCGCATGCTGCCTGAAGGATCTCAGGTCACTTCCGACATATGTAGAACATACAAAGCAATCTTAAATGTGCCTACAGATTTGACATATTTTAGTTTTTTACACACAATCCACACAATCTCAAATTTCCTCAAAGAGCGACTCGATGCCAAGGACTGTAGCATTATTGTGACCACACCCCGGAGGTTCTTCTCTCATTATCAAAAATTTCTTTTTTTTTAATTATTATGACCTTCATAAATTTAACTCTGTTTGACGTTAAAGGATTGTTCATATTTTTATCGGTTTTTCACCATTTGTTAAATTCCTCGAATTAAAATCTAATAATCAATGTCTTTGGGCAGTTGTTATTCCTTAAAATAATGAAAGCTCGCTCTTTAACTTTACTACAAATTGCCAAAACTTTATGTATCAAATTATTAGTCCAATTCAATTTTTGACCAAAAGAGTGAGAAGAGAAATAATTGAAATATCTGTCACAGCTATTTCTGACATTAGAATAGATACTGCGGGCTTACGTTCAATTTATTAAGGTCCATTAATTTTAAAAAGTGGGTTTTGACGAGAGGAGATCTTCCGGGATAAGGTCGCAATCTGTTACAGTCCATGGCAAAGTTTGGACTGAATCGGCCTTCAAAGAAATTTGAGATCGCCTGTAAAAATCTTAAATATGTCAAACTGTAGACGTATTTAAGATTTGATGTTTGTAGATCGACCTGCAGATAATCAATGTAGAGTTCAAATCTTCTTTAAGGTCTTTACTAGGTAAAAGAAAACGTTGGGATATATGTAAATTATTATTGTTGTCAATTGTTAATGTTATAAGCGAATAATTACCCACTACTTTACATAGATGTTTTGTTCACCATGTATAACTGAATGCTGGCCATGTGCTTCATAACCTAAACCAAAGCCCTTTTACATTAGTTTTTTTCCGATGAGAATTTTTTACTCTTCTCTCTTGGGAAAGTATGCATTATTGCTTTAATTGATTGTTGAATAAATATTAATTATGTATATTTTTCTTAATAAATAGGCCCTGATGATGGCAACATAATGTTGCCGAAAGCTTGGTGATCCCAACACTTTCTTTCACTTAGTAAAGACCTTAAAGAATATTTGAACTCTACATATTTAAGATTGTTCTAAACAATTATATTGATTTTTAGATCAATTGTACAAATATGTTTTTCATGTGAAATTAATGTAGGGCCTGATGACCTGATTAGGTCGAAAGCTTGAGAGTAACAACAGAATCTTTTTTTTCTGCAAGACCAAACCTTTGATCTGGAGCGTTCCTTCAGTTTAACTTCACTCGCCGGCTGATGACTTCCAACACAAGCTCACTGACACACTAATTTATCAAATTAACAATTAATTATATAATAAATACAAGTTTCTGTGACTATTTGATGTTTTAAACGTTTATATTATTTTGACGTCCGGTAAAGTAAGATGAGATTTTAAGAAATCTGAGGCTTACCATATTTCCGATATAATTTTGATCTTTTTTTTTAAATCCATAATAAAATATCGATACTCTTGTTGCTTGTAATAATTTTCTTTTAAAATTATCCTACCGAGATAAATAAAATCTAATTGTTTTGCGTTAAAGACCTTCCGTGAAATTTCGCTAAATTATAATTGGCACATTTCGGAAGGAAACCGTTATTATGATTAAGGAAAAAGTCTAGAGAAATAACTTGTTGAACAGTGTTTAAGCTTTCCGGCTCCGAATGGATAACTTTTCAACAGCTTGTTAAACTGTTTGGCAAAAAAAACTTTTTTTCTCGTTAACTTACAGATGATTTGACCTGAAAGTATTTACTTTGTAAGGGCTTGTCTAAATAGCTTGATAACCAATACGAAAATAGAACCAGGTGCAGATTATGATCATGTAGAGATGAAGATGGTGGCAATTAATTACTATTTTCCTCGTTCTAAATATGAAGCTGATAAGACTTTACCTTGGGTGTTTCCAGAAAAGAAATTTGGTTTATATTTAAAATATTTAAACATAATAAATAATCCTTTAGATATGTTATTTTTAAACTTCACTCAGCAAAAATTTATTTGGTTTAAATATTTTTCCATTGACTGAAACTACAGTAGCGGTTTGGAGAGTACCTGCTGAAATCAAATGTTTTCCATGGAACGGTTCATAGTAAAAGATAAATCTGCAGTCCTGAGGTGAAGCCCGTCATTAGAAGTTTCCAGTTCGTTTGGCTTTATCATGAACGCTTCCATGGAACACACTCTGTCCTGAACAACGATCATCGTGCTTCATTTTGAGGTCATCCGATTTTTTATTGTTTTATATATTTTTTTAAATTAAATTAATTTTTTTTAAATACATACAAAACACAATAGCTTACACCAAATTGCTCATCCATAACCAGGCTATTTGTAATGAAATTAACTGCAGCAAAAATGTTTAACGTATACATTTAAACAAAAACTCTTCATATGCAAATGAACATTTTAAATCCATCCCGAACATTTCAGGAAAACTCTATTTTCTGGGCAAACCAATACGTAGGCATAGATGATATCAACTGACCAAGTACGATAAGCAAAACATGGTGAAAATTTCACTAAACCTGCCCTAAAGACAGTGCTGATATTGAGAAAATTAAAATGCCGCATTATTTATTTTTATTTTCTATCATGTCTACTTTTGTTTGTTGTACTGAT